GCCTGGCCTGAACGAACCGCCCGGCGCCGCGGCCGGCGGGGGCGGCGGTGCCCCGCCTCCCACGTGCGGGGCGCCAGCGGGTAGCCCAAAGCCCGCAGCCCCTGGCACCATGCCGCCGGTCACGTCAATCCCCGCCATGCCGCCAGCCGCGCCCCCAGCGGGCCCCGCAGCCGCGCCTGGGGCGCCGCCTGCCGCGCCGGGTGGGCCCGCACCGGCTGGGCCTGTGGCGGGCAGGAGGGTGGGGCCGGGCGCGCCCTGCGCCGGCGGCAGCGCAATGGGGCTGCCGCCCGTTGACCAATCGGGCTGCTTGCCTGTCGGCACAAACGGCTGCCCGCCAAAGAAGCCGGACCCCAGGCCCATGGGGCCAAACGGCGCACCAAAGGGCCCAAAAGGCGCCGGCACCAGCGGCGGAGGCAGCTGAGGGCCGTTTGTCGATGCGGCCCCGCCGGGCGCCGCAGTGTGGGGCCCGGCTGGGGCAGCGCCGCCGCCAGGCGGGGTCGTCGGCGCAAGGTGCGGGTGCGCGGGGCCATGCTGCTGGCTGGGGCCGCGCTGTGGGTGGCTGGCAGGAGGGCCTGCGCCCGCCGGAGGGAAGCCGCCGGCAGGCGCCCCCCAGGCGTCCACGGCGGCCGGCATCGGCGGCGGCGGCGCGCCCGGCGGCACCATGCCGACAGGGGCAAACATGGGGTGCCAGAGGTTGATGCCACCGGGCGCGGCGGGCGGGCCCGTGCCACCCGGGCCATCTCGGTGGTGTGGGTGGTGTGCGGGCGGCGGAGGCGGCGCGCCGCCGCCAGGGCCGCCACGGAAGCCAAACACGCCGCCGGCGTGCGCCAGCACGGCAGCTGGTGGCATGCCGGCGTACACGGCTGCTGCTCCTGCGTCCTGAGCCGGCGGTGCAGGCGACTGCTGCGTCACGCCCGGGGGCTTGTTGGGTCCGCCGCGGTGCGGCCCCAGGCCCAGGTCAGCGGGCAGCGGGGACACGCCCACGCCCGGCACCTCGCCTGCGCCGGGAACCTTGGCTTCGCGCGCAGCAGCCGCAGGCCCGGCGCCCCTGGGCCCCGGGCCGGGCCTGCCGCCCGCTGACCCCTGCTGCTGCTGCTGGTGGGCAGGCGGCTGCCTGAGCCGCCGCTGCTCAAACTGCGCCATGCCGCCTGCGAGCTTGGGTGGGGTGGGGTCCAGGCTGGCCGGCAGGTTGACAGGGTCGTCCAGGGTCATGGAAACAACCTCCTTGGCGATCTGAGCGTTCCAAGCCTCTGCCTCAGCCTTTGCTGCCGCTGCTGCCGCCGACTCGCCGCCCTCCGCCACGCCGCCGGGCGCTCCACGCTCGCCCAGCGCGAGCGCGGCTGCGACAGCCGGCGCTGCGATGGCCGGTGCAGCGGCGCCGCGCCGCTGAGGTATCGGCTGTGGTGGCGACATGGGCAGCACTGCTGGCAGGCCAGTAGCGGCCGGCGTTGCAACGGGTGCGGATGGCGGGACCGTGGCGCCGGCTGCCGTGGCAACCACGGTGGAAGCTGCTGCTGCAGCCTCGGCGGCTGACGGGGGCTGCGGCTGGGTCTCAGCGCTGTCAACAGCCCGTGGCCCCCCATTCCTAGCAAGGCCAGGTCCCTCCCGGCTCTCGCGCCGGCTGCGGCGCCCGCCGTGCTGCTGCTGCTGCTGTTGCTGCTGCTCATCGCCGCCAGTAGAACCACCCAAGGAGCCCTCTGCGCCACTGCCACCCTCCGAGCCGCCGCCAACTGAGCCCTCAGGGCGGTCAGGAGCACCCTTGCTGCCTTTGCCCCTCGAACCGCGGCCGCCGCGCTCCCGCCTCTCGCCTGCCGCCGAGCTGGGTGTGCCCTGTTGGGGCACGCTTGCCTCCGGCTGCTGGGCCTGGGCGGGAGCCTGTAAAGCCGCAGGCCCATCGGAAGCCACAACAGCGCCGCCACTGACCTCCGCGCGGCCGCCCCGCGCACCGCGCTCCTGCCGCTGCGGCGGCTGCTCGCCTCCCCTGTCGCCGCGGCCGCCTGCAGGGCCCTGCCCACCGCGTTCGCGCCTGGGGCCTGGACCTCCGGGCTCCTGGGCGTGGTGGGGCTCCTGCACCTGCGTGCCCCCTGACCCACCCGCCCTCCAATCCAAGGGGCTGTCCGCGTAGCGGCCAGCTGGTGGCCCGCCAGCCAGGGGCTGCGGGGCCCACGAGCCCTGGCGCGGTGCCAATCCAGATGATGGCCGCAGCTCATGGGGTGGAAGGGGCGACGGGCCGTTGGAAGCCTGCGCAGGCTGCGGCTGCTGCTGCTGAGGCGTGGGCTGCCGCTGACTCTGAGCCAAGGCCTGGGGCGCCGCCAGCTGCTGCTGCTGCTGCTGTTGCTGCTGCGGTGGCTTGGTGCCAGCAGGGCGCTCCAGCAGCCTGACCGGAGGCTGAGCCCCCGGGCCCTGGGGGTGCGGTTGTGGTGGCCCTTGCTGGCCCCTGTACGGCGGCCCCTCAGACGCCCCACCCGCGCCCCTCATGCCCTGAGGGCCGCTGTACAGTGGGCCCTCTGCACGCCGCCACCTGTCTGCAGAAGAGCCCTGGCGTCGGGGCTCGTCTTCCCCAGAGTACTGCGACGCAGAGGGCCGCCGCTGCGGCGGCGGTCCCATGCCCTCCGAGCCCTGCGACGCCATGTACTCACGCGGTTGATGCGACGGGGGTGGAGGCGGCGGCTGCTGGTGGGCCGGCGGTGGCGGCGGCTGAGCTCCGCCCTGCGGCTCGCGCTGCGGCTGCTGAGGTGGAGGCTGCTGAGGAGCAGAGCTTTGCTGCCCAGGAGCCTGGCCCTGCGGCGGAGGCGGAGGTGGCTGCGACGGGGCACCCGACCGCGGCCGCCACTCACGGGGCGGCGGCGGCGGGGGCTGCTGCTGTTGCCCATGCACGGGTGCTGCTTGCTGCACAGCGGCGCTGACTGCGCCCCCAGCGCTGCTATCGGCGCTGCTTGCCTCTTCCTGCTTGCGCCTCTCCATCTCGGCTGCAACACGCGCCAGTTCCGCCTCAAACGCCTCGCGCTCGGGGTCCCGCTCCTCTTCCACATCAACAACCGGCGCTGCCACCACCGCTGCTTCAGGTGTAGCCTTCTCAACCGAACGCCGCGGTGGTGGCGGCGGAGGCGCCATGCCACCTTGCGCTGGGGACGGCAGCAGGTCGTAAGCATCGTAGCCATCGCCTTGCTGCACTGCCTTGGGGCCCTCCGGCGCGGCGCCAGGCGGGCCACGCGAAAAGCCGCTCCCGCCCCCGCCCCCGCTGCGAGGCGGCGGCGGCGGCGGCGCGCCGTAGCGTTCGCCCCCTGGGAAGCCACCCCCGCTGCCGCCATAGCCGCTGCTGCGGCGAAAGTCGTACTCGTCATGCTCTTGGCCGTAGCGGCCGCGACCATAGCGATCCTCGACGCCGAAGCCCCCACTGCGGTGTGGCCAGTCACCGCCGTCAGGCGGGCCGCTGACATGGCGCTCGTCGTCGTACCCGCGCGGCCCGCCCCTGTTCGTAGGAGAGACGCAGCAGGGCGGCAGGATGATGCACAAAGAGGCACAGGCATGTGCATGGTGATGCTGCTGCAGCCATGCATTCACGTACTCTCACCGAACATCACAGCTGCAGGTGTGCAGTAACACGCAGTGAAACAGTATCCTGCAACAGCCCCTCTGCTCACCACTCGTCGCGCTCGCGATCGCTGCGCCAGGTCGCCCGCACATCCCGCTCGTCGTCCCCCCAAGGGCCCTCCTGCATGGACCCAAATTTGCATATTGTCAGCAGTAAGACGCCGCGGCCCAAATGCCCTCCTGGCTGCTGGTCGCACCCTGCGAGCCATGCAACTGCTCGTGTGTGTGACAGCATACATCCGCATCACAACCTCGCCATTCCTGTCCCCAGAATAACCTGCTCAAACACGACAACATTTTGATGCGATGTCGATGCACCACACAACATCAACACGCAATTGCCCAACTCACGTGCTGATGCTGGTCGTACGAGGACCGCTGGCTGCGGTTGGGGGGCGGGCCCTGTCCCTTGGACGTCGCCGCCAGGCTGGGGTACTCCTCCATGTTGAGTCGCCGCTCCACCGGGAAGCTGCTCCCGCGAGCAAAAGGACCAGCCCTCACAGGCGGCACCCAGCCTCCCTCTGGGCCACCAGCACCGCCGCCCGAGCCCCAGGTGCTGCCGGCAGTGAGCGCTGACTGGCGCTGCTCCGGTTGCGGAGGAGCGGGGGCCGGCTCATCGGGCTTGCTCCAGCCGCCGCCCGGCCCTGTGCTGGGCACAAGCTGCGTTGTGGGGTCATTGCCCGCATGTTCCTGTGCGCCAGCATGGGGTGCATGCGCAAAAGCACCGCACGTCAGTCTTTGAATACTTGCTTATGACAAACCCTCTGCCCGCCCGCCCTCATGGCATTGCGGCGATCGCTATCAGCAGCGGCGGCCGCGATGTGCGTCGCACCACCCACACAAGTGCGCCTGGTGTGCCATGCAAGGGCCTCGACTGGAGTTTGATGTCCTAAAACTGCGATACACACTGCGCAGGGCTGCATGCCTGCTTCTCCCGGCCCTCCTCCACTTGGCGGGGTCGCAGCTCACCTTCTTGATCGACGGGAGGTTCACAGGCTTCGGCACGACCAGTTTCTGTCCCGGAACGACTGCAGGCTTCTGCGAAAAGGAGGAGGCCCGGCGCAGCGCGGGAGGAGGGGTGCGGAGGCTTCCAGGAGAGCGGCGCCCAGTCAAGCGGGCCTCGAGCCCGTTTGCCACCCACAAAGACCCCTGATATACCCCAGAGCTTACAGTCACGATCAAGGGCCCACCTTGAGCTGGACGAAGCGTCCCAGGCCCGCGGGCGCGCCACCAGGGCCCCCCGGCCGGCTGAGGAGGGATGCTACATTAGTGTTCGTAAATTTCTTTTTCTCACGATCCGGAGCAGCAGCCATGCGGCGCGGCCGCGGGGTTCGTCTTGGTTGATCTTTGTTCGCGGGGTGGTAAGCGGAACAGCTAACCTATAGTCTGAAAAACGAAACAAGACACCTAAGCACGCGCCATACACCCCCGCGGACACATGCAGGCTCTGGCAGGTAATTTCAGAAGGCGAGCCGGCCACACCCACCAGGTCGAATAACTACAAGGACAGAAAACGCAGCAGTTCAAGCTTAGTCACGCACGTATCCGTGCATTCCTGCAGGGATTCGCCTCCAGCCTCACCCACCCGATGAGACAGAGAGCCGGGCAAGTGCAAAATCCCACAGGCAACTGAGCAACACCTGCTGCTCAGCAGTGCTGAGCAACACTGACATGCGAGTCCTGGCTCAGGTAGACTTTGTGTTTGCGTGTTGGTCCCAGCTGCAGAAGCTCAGCGTTGTCACAGCCACTAGTCCAGCGACCAATGGTGATGTCAGGCACAATGCAATGTTTGACTCTGTTGCTGGCTGCCAGGTTGTACTTTTGGCAAAAGAGGACGCAATCATAATAGAATCTGATGGATTTGGTATGGTCCAGCATATTTAAAGCGCTCAGTGCTTACTGCTTGCCACTCTCGCTGACTAGTGTCGACATGGCGGCCAGCATTGCCTTTCTCGCAGGTCACCAAGCGTACATAGTAAGCTCAAGCACCCAGGAAACGCGCACTTAATGCACCGCTGCTCACAAGTGCAATGTCCTGTATGTACCACCGCCGCGCCACCCGTTCGCTAGTGCTGCTGGTGCTGCTGCTCCTGCCATGTGATGCCGACGTTGAGCCCAGACCGTACAACATGCCTGACACCAAGATGACGTCGATGCGACCATGATTTTACTAATCACAAGCTGCCATGATGTTTGCATATTCGTCGTTGCACACGCCATCCGAGAAGCCACGCAGCCACAGTGGCCTGGCTGGCAGCCTTCGAGTGTCATTCCGCAGGTGTGATGCAGCTTTGCACGCACGGCTGCGTGGGGTGTTATCCCTCAGCGACACGGCCACCGCCCGCCTCTGCTGCAGCAGCGCGACCCCGGCTTGCCGCAGCGCCGTCATCTTCCACATCGCCCTCAATCCTCGGCGCCTGCAGAGCGGCAAGCTGCCCCGCCGCCTCCTTGTTGTGCGGCTGCAGCTCGAGCACTGCTTGCAAATCGCCCCCGGCCTCCGGCAGCCGACCCAGCGCCCGACGCGCCGCCGCACGTCGCAGCAACGCCTTGATGTTCCCCGGCTCCGCCTCCAGCACGGCGGTGCAGTCCGCTTCCGCCGCCTCCATCTGCCCGAGCTTCAGCAGCGCCAGCGCCCGGTTGTTGCGCGCCGCAATCAGCGCTGGGTCCAAAGCGAGCGCCGCCGCATACTCGTCCGCCGCAGCCTGCCAATCGCCACGATTGACGGCGGCATTGCCACGCGCCTTGGCGGCCTCAGCGGGCGGCACCTCCTTGGGCGGCGGCGGCAGCGCGCCTGCCCCCACGGGCCTGGCGCCCACGCTGCCGCCGCCGCCGCCGCTGCTGCCGCCGCGGATTCGCTCTGCAAAGTTATGCACCTGGCCGCTGCGGTCACGGCGCTGTGCAGCCTGCAGGGCCGCCTCCTTGATCCAGGGGGCGTCTGAGCGCAGCTCGTCCAGCGTGAAGTCCAGGCGCCTGAAGTCGTCCTCGTTGTCAAACAGCCGCCCGATGAAGACGTCGCCCAGCACCTGTCACCAGGGTGAGTGGTGCGCCAAGGTGAGGAGGGGGGCGCTGAGGACAGCAGTTGTTTGCGGATGATGTGGCACAAGACATTAAGCGGCTGGCCGATCAACGATGAGGCTTGCAGGGCACACACCTGGGGTCGCGTGAATAGCGGCTGCAACCCCCACCCCCCCTTGCTTCACGCGTGCGACCATTGACAGGGCAGGTCAGTGACCTGGCTGCCATAGCCTCAACGCAACGCAGCCCCTTGTCGGCTGCGCTCACGTCCATGGGGTTGCCACCGCACGCCATGAGGATGTCGCAGGCACGGGGGTTGCGTGCCGCACGCTTAAAGCTGGCCTGGTCGTCCGAGTACCTGTTCCAGGCAGTGGAGGGGAGCGGTGCCTCTGGTGAGCGGGCACGATGTCAGTGTCGAGCTGCTTGGGTGCAGCTCCACATAGGCTGTGAGTCTCCCGTCGCAGGGCACTGGCGCAACTCGCGGCGACCTTGCGGAGAGTGCTGATGTTGCGTAGGGCACAGTGGGGGCGCTGAATAGCGGCGACTGCCACTCGTTGCAGCATTACCCCACAACGTGCTCAAGACCCAGCAAGCACCGACGCACATGTTAATGGCAACGTATCCATTCTGCGGCGTGTTGTGCAGCAGCGGTATCGGCTCCACCATCTGCATGTTGAGCGCCGCAGCCAGCGCCGCTTCGGGCACGTTGCGTGCGTCCCCTGCCCCCTTGAGCAGCGCCTGCCTGTGCGCCTCCCGCGACGCGTCGCTCGGGGCCTGCACACGCCTGGTGTTATTGGCAGGCGCAGGTGCCATTGTTGAATTGGCGCATGCGCCTGAAAATACGAGTCAGGTGCTAACGGCAACACCTCATGACACAGATGCGGGATGCCAGGAGCTGCAGTCACTAGCAAAGTCACATTCGCGGCGATGCTCGCGTCCTGGCGCATCAGCGTGCGTGTGCCACGCTGCCCCTCACTTCAGAACGCGGCACACCTGTAGTGTCGTTTCAGTTCATCCAGCAGGCTGGTGCACTCGTCCTCCTTGGTAGCGGTATGCTCTAGCTGCTGCAGGGGCTGCGTTCTGCGAGGCAGGATGCGGTGCCCGCAACGGAGTCGCCGCTTGGCAGGAATGTGGTCTTACCAGTGCCCGTTTGAAGCAGGCATGTATATTATTGGCAGAACCTGTTGCACATGCGATGCAGGGAGGGAGCACGCACACCAGCATGCCGGTTTCGGGCACCACCCAGGGCAACACAAGCCTCAGCTCATCAGCTGTCAGCAGTGTGTGGCGATTGTCACTCACGTATCGGCTGGGACAAAAACATACTTGAACGTGACATTTGTAGCATCCCCCTGTTTTGTGTCATCTGCACCCATTTCTGCTACTGCACGGTGCTGGCAGCCGCTGCGAGGATGCGCGCTGCGGCCCAGGCTGCGCTGCACTGTGTGCTCTCAGCACTGCCCAAACTAAGTGCACTGGGAGCTCTTGAGGAGCGTGTTTGGCACTCTCTCGCTTTGATCACGCACGTAATGCGAAGCATCTAAAGCTGCAGGCGGAGTTTCTGGAAGCGGGCTGCAGGCTACCGACGGTATGATCGCTACGCGCGTGCAGTAGAGGTGTTTGTGAACAAGGATCTGCGCCACCTCGTGCCAAGCTACTGAGCTGCTCAGCGCTTTCTCATGTCACCGAGACACTTGGTCACAAGTGACGTGCAGCGCGTGTCACCGTGCTCTAGCAACCGCTATGTGCACAAGCTCGGACGCATACGTCACCCTGTGGCATAATTCACATTCACCTCAGGCAGCAAAACAACATGGCCTGAAGCAAGGACGCGCTGTGCGGCGCAAGGCATTGAGAACGCAGCTGGCCCATGTCGGGACATGGCCTGAAGCAAGGGCGGAGTGGCGCACATGCAGAAGGGCGGAATCCCTTTCAACCTGCCAAGTCTGAGTCACGAGTCTTTTAAGTAATTGGAGTGCAGCGCACCATGGTATGACCCGCGCTGGCGCATGACCAGCACTGGTACATTGCGCCGACACCCTGCTGTCGCGCTGATTCTGCTAGCATGATGCTTCACGACAACGATAAATATCTTGCCACCGCAGGCAACACAGACCCCATGCCATTTCCTCCAAGAGCGATAAAGCACTTCTCACGCAAGGATGCAGCGAAAGCGGTTGCATAGCAGCGCCTCGACAAGCTGCAGTGGGGTGACGCGTGCCGTCACCCGTGCGCCTGGGCCGACCTCAGCCGGAAGTTGGCTCCATCATGAACGCGAGCCGCTTCAAATGATTTGCAGTTGGTGGCATGCGAAGCGGACGCCACCAGCAGCCCAACCGCCGTCCAGGCAGGCCGGCGGGCGCACGCTGCATGCCCGCTCTGGCACCTGCGGAAGCGGAAGCCTCAGATCGTTGGCATCACACGGAACTTGATGCACTCGTGCACTGAATAGTCTCCACAACACGATATTGCAAGAGCCAGCGCAATTGTTTGACTCCACTTCTGACCCAAGATTGCTACGCGGGGCTTCTGGCGCTGAACGGAAGCTTATGTAGTTATACTGATACTGTTAAGAAACACATTAGCTTGAATTGGCAGGCGCGGGCCTCCAGCAGCAGCAGCCCATGGCAACTTGAGAGCCTGGCGCGACCGCGATCGGCTGATACTGTCCGAACATGGCGTTGGCGGCGGGTTTCAATTGGTTGCTCATCTTTGTTGCGTGTGTGGTGGCCGTGGTGCTACTAGCGGCCTGCATCTACGTGTTGATCCACTACCAGCACCCGGACGATGGCAACCAGGCCTGGATCCCGAAGGGGATCGTGGTGTTGGGGCTATGGCTTGCGATGGCGACGGTACTATTATTCCCGCTCGACGTGGCGAACCGGGCGGCGTGCTCGTTCGGCGTCGCCGAGAGCGCGTGCGTCTTCACCCTGCCGATGCGGGAGCTGTGGTTCGCTATCTTCATCACAAACCTAGTTATGGTGTTCTTCCTCATCCCGTTCACAATGTTCTTCTGGGAGGCCGACAGCGACTAGTGAGTGCGGACCGCAGCCGAGCGGTGGACGCCATGCACCGCCTGTGCAAGATTCTGCTTACAACCATCCATAAGCGGTGCGCCTGTTTGCGTGCATGCAGCAGCATCACAGGTGAGCTGTGCAACGTGCATTGATGTGGTAACGACAGTCCTCTGTCTGGCGCGCCCACCGCCCTCCTCACGCCGCCCTGGCCCCACGCGACGCGCAGCACTTGGTTCATGCGCGTGAAGACGGCTTTCCTTTGGACGCTGGGAATGGCCGTCGTGCTGGGTCTGGCAATTGGAGTCGCTTACGGTGCGAGGCGCGGGGCAATCAGGCTGGCAGGACCGGGCACGGAGGTCCGGTCGCGGCTGCTGCTCTGGCGCAGTTCGGCCAGCCCTGGGTGGCACAGAGCAGGCGGGCGCCCTCCTCGCCCCGACCGGCAAACGCCCCGCGCCCCGTCGGCGCAGGGCTGGCGGGCTTTGTCGAGTATCCAACGCAGGAGCTGGTGTCTGGTCTGCTGCCGCTGGACCAGCTGCCACTGCTGGCCAATTACACTGGTACAGACTGCATCAAGCCGGGCATGGGGCTGGCGGGGTACAACGCCACCAACAAGATCCCCGGCGGGCTGGTGCGCACGGCTGGCGGCGGGCTGGTCTAGGTCAAAGGTGGCGGTCAGCAGCAGGCGGCGGGGTTGTGGAGGAGGCCAGCAGCAGAAACGTCTTGGCGGACGGCGAAGCGGGGACTGGCATCTGACACGACACACGTGGTGGCTCATGTGAAGACAGCAGAATGGGGTGACAGAGGTATCGGTGTGAAGGCTGTGCGCAATTCGGAGGGCCGTGTATTGCCGTTGCGTGCAGATGGTGGCAAATGGACTCTGAAGGCCCCCTGCCTACGCCCCTGGCCGCGCCCTGCAGTGTGACGGCTATGGGGCCAACTACGCCATCAAGACGTGGACGCTGCGGGTCTCCCTGCCGGTCTACATCATGGCCATCCAGTCCGTGTTTGGTGGGCAACGCCCGGCACGCGCGTTGTATGAGCAGCAGTGGGGCCCGCGGCGGCATGGGGGGCGCAGGATCATGTGGGCACCTAGAGCAGCTGTCAGCACACAGTGCAGTGTGATGCTCTCACCCAGCAGCTTCAGGCGGCCCTGCCCATTCAGCAGCCCGACCCGCCCCTCACCCGCGGTCAGGCTGGATCCTGTTTTTGGTGTTTGCGGGGTGGGGCGTCATGGCGGCGCCCATCGACTGGCTTCACCAGTACATGCGGCGGCCGCGCGCCGTCATCACCAAGAGCGAGTTCCTCAACCGCGCACGCGGGCTGGCGCAGCGCGCCAAGGAGATCAAGGTGAGGGCTCGCGCGTAACACTCTCGAGAGTCCCAAAGTGTTTCCAGCTGCCGGCGCTTTGGACTCTGCCTGGGTGTCACGGTTGGCTCGCATATATGCGGCCCTTGGGGGCGAAGTGTCTGGGTCATGGTGTGAAGCTGCGGCTTCCCAGCAGGCACGCAGGTTGGGCGGCCGGCATTGTTCTATTGATTGTGGGAGCCCTGGCATGTGGGTTTGCATTGAATCCTCTTATGTGTCGAAGCCTCCCGCCCCCTCCCGGCC